AATAACTAGGATCACAGAAGAAGGAAAATGATTTGGGAAAATTGTCTGGACCATTTTGAGTTTCAAATGCGTTGCAGATACCCGGGTTGAGATGTCCAAATGAAGTCAGAGATGTGGGTATGGAGCTCAGAAGAGGAGTCACAGATTTGGGAGCCATGGTAGTTGAAACCATGGGAGTTCATTAGATTGTTGTTTTTTTTTTTTTTTTTAACAAACATTCATTGTATTCATTTAAAGGCCTGAATTTAAATCCTACCCCAGACACTTTCTAGCTGTGTGACTCTTGGCCAGTCACTTAACCTCTCAGCCTCAGTTTCCTGGTATGTAAAATGGGAATGATAATAGCATCTATCTTATTCGGTTACTGTGAGGATCAAATTAGATAATGTATGTAATGATCTTTGCAAACCTGAAAGTGCTAGATAAATGCTAGCTATTATTATTATTGTTATTATTATTATTATTTTAAAGAAGTATGTCCTCAGTGCTCACTATGTGCAGAGCACTGTGTTAAGTTTTGGGTGAGAAAGAGAGTTCAGATTCTTCGTGGTCCCTGTCCTGATGAGAGAGTAAGCTACTATCTCTACTACTGATATTATAGGTTGTAGTAATTGCAATAAACTAAGGAACATTCCATTCACCAGCCAATGATTGGTGATAGAAATAGAAATACAGCAATGCTCTGAATGATAAATTTGCTAATGCTGATATGCACTTATGCAGTCCTGTACAGTTTAGTTAATAGCATCATAGCTCTTAGAATTAGCAATTATTTAGTCTAACTCTCACTGAAATGGGCCCTTGCATTAAACACATTCTCATGGTTTTCTTCTGGTTAACTCAATCCTTCAGACTGCATAAAGAGAGACATGGTGTCCAAAATGAGAGGTGGCAGTCCCAGAGAGTACAAGGAGCAATCTACTATGCTGCTCCTATTACTACGACCACTACCATTGCCACCACTGCTACTAGTACCATTACTACTGTTACTACTGCTAGTACTGCTATCACCACCACCACCATTACTGGTCATAGGCATTACAATGTCCTAAGAAGCATTCTTGTATTATGTCTGTATGTCTATCATCTTTTGTTCTTCTCCATCGTCCTTTCTTTCTAGCACTTTCTTTCCCATGTGTGGACATTCCTGGGGCTCAGAATTGTGCCAGTCAGATTGGTCATATCTTCCAATGCTCTGTCATCACTGCTTCAGAATTATTGAGGTTTGATATCAGGAGCCAGATCCACACAGTTTTCTGACCAGCTCCATAGACATAAGTATGCTTCTGACTCACCCTATAACCCAATGTCCTAACATATCCATAACTTACTATTCACTTACACACTCTGAAAATAGAGTTGACTCAGAGAGTCCACCCAGAGTCTCAAAATGTACTCTTAGTTTGCTTGGGCATTCACCCCTCAACACTCCCTGAAAATCAATCTCTCCAACCAACATGGTTAATCACTGGCTCAGTACTTAACACTCACCAATTCTATACAACTGCTTCATTTCACTAATTACTCTTTCCACTTTCATACAACCACTTAAATTGAACACTAATTCTTGTTTTTCATGTACTCAAAGTTTGCTAAACCTTTTGTCACACATACCCAAGGGATGACTTCTTAACAAGCTTATTCTAACAATTATCAGCATCAAGAGAATATTCTGTCACTTTCTTTCAGTTTGCTGAGTATTTCACACCTGCAGGCTACTGGGAATCTTCTTCCTTTAATAAACTAGGCTGCCATCTCTTAAAAATCCACAAAAAACTCCCCAAGGGCAGAAATTATTTCATTTATCTCTTCAAATCACCTAAATCAAGTATAGTGCCTGGCACATAGGAGATGCTTAATAAATGCTGGATGAAAGAATAAACAAAATCCATGACTTGAGTTTAGGAAGCCTATTATTCCCTATTTCTGGACATCAGCCTAAAAATGGTATGTAGCTGTAACATTGCAAAATGAAATGAATAGGATTTAATAAACAGGCAGTGTGTCATAGTGGATAGACAGCAAGCCTTGGCTCCAGAAAGACCTGAGTTCATGTCCTGCCTCTGACGTCTACTGACTGAATGAACCTGGGCAAGTCACTTTACTTCTCACTGCTCTAGGCCAGTGGTGTCAAACTCAAATAGAAAAGAATCCTTGCAGGCTGCATTAGAAAACCACAAATTAATGTTATCTGTATCTTACTGTATTTTAATTTATTTTTGTTAAACATTTACCAATTACATTTTTATACAGTTCTGGGGACATGTGGGAGTGTTGGAGGTTGCATGCAGCTGGGGACAGTGAGTTGGGCACCTTTGTTCTAGGTAACTCTCTAAGACTATATACAAGTTGCAGAGAAGATGCTGATCTGCACCCTATGCCAATGAAATAACATTCAGTTCCTTTTCCTATCCTATAAAACCCATGATAACTAAGGACCAGAAATAACATCTACTTTTTTTTTTAACAAATCAGAATATTGTTTCATATTCCAAATGGTGACAATCGATTTCTAAATGTAGAATAGGGAAATATTTTTAAAACAAGTTTTTTAATGTCTTTTTTCATGTCATCATAGTTTTCCCCAGGATCCACCATTCCCCTCCCAAGAGGGCCACCTCATATAACAAATAGTATTTCTTAAAGACAAAAAAAAACCCTCCAAAAAACCAAAGAGAAGTCAGCACAACTGATTGATATATTGAAAAAGTCCCAAAACATGTATAATACAGAAAATTTGTGGACTTCCCATCTCCACAGAGGGTTAGATTGGGAATATCTCGGGAATATCTAGGGAATGTCTTCTCATATCCCTTCATTTGACTCATGTTTGATCTTTATATTCTTGTAACATTAATTTTTAAATTTTTTGGTATGTAGATTTTTCTATTTATGTTGTTGTAGTTATTGTATATGTTGCTTTCTTGCTTCTGCTTACTTAACTGTGCATCAGTTCATGTAGATCTTTCCATGCTTCTCTGCATTCATCACATTGATAATTTTTTAGAGCACAGTAATATTTATTCCATTCCATTCATGCACCTCAATTTGTTTAGCCATTCCATAACTGATGGGCATCTACTTTGTTTTCAATTCTTTGCTGTCACAAAAAAGTACTGCTCTAAATATTTTGGTATATATAAGGACCTTCTTATCAATGGCTTCCTTAGATCCAGTAAAGGAGCCTCTGGTTCAAAGATTATGAACATTTTAGTCACTTTATTTTCATCATCCCAAATTGCTTTCCAAAGCGATTATACCATTTCATAGCTCCATCAGAAATATATCAGTGTGCCTATCATTCCACAACCCCTCCAACATTGACTATGACCATTTTTTTGTCATCTTTGCCAAGGGAAATATTTATTATTGTTATTTTAAATACATCTCTCTCTGTCTCTCTTCTTGTAAGCATGCATGTATGTATATAGGCATATACTATATGCTTCTGTCTGTCTATCTATCTATCTATCATCTATTTATCTACTTAAAGAGAAAAAGAAATGTTGTGGTGTGGTAATGAAATAGGAAGAGATGTGTTTAGAATGTGTTAATCACTTCATCTATCTACCCCTGGAAATACTCCATTTGACCAAGATGTGAAATAAGTGTTCATATATTTTAGATCATAAAAGCATGAAATGAGCATTATTGATGGCCAAAAAAATCATTATTGGGGCAGTAGGTGGCACAGTAGATAGAATACCAACCAGCCCTGGAGTCAGGAGGACCCGAGTTCAAAACTGGCCTCAGACACTTGACACTTACCAGCTATATGACCCTGGGCAAGTCATTGCCGAATTGTCTTGCAAAAATGTCATTATTGCCCTTTTCTTACCTGGTTCTATATTTTAAGATTATAACTTGAAGAAGAGATGCAGTATAATGGCTCGGATAGAAAGCTGCTCTCAAAGCCAGGAATACCTGGGTTCACATCCTGCCTCTGACACGTACTAGCCATATGATCCTTTGCAAATGATTTAACTTAGTGTTCTAGACCAGTGCCGTCAAACTCAAATAGCAATGGGGCCACTAATCTATACATAAGTATCCCTTCAGACCACATATTGACTTCAAAAAGGTGATGTTATTTATGTTTTATAGAATTATTTATTTTGTTAAATATTTCCCAATTACATTTTAATCTGATTCTGAGTGGCACTCAGGATTGTGGCAACTGCTGCCTATGTGGGCTGCAGGTTTGACACCCAAAGGAGCTCAGCACATTCTCTGAAACTTATAATCAGAGTGGCAACCCTGCCAGAGAGTTGCAATACTGACTATAAGTTTAAGAGAATATGCTGACTTGAATTAGTAAAAGGTGTCTCCTCATCCAGGAGTTACCTATGCCAGTGAAATCACAAGTGTAATCCTTATCTTTACTTAAAGAAACTGTCACATACTGTGTTGGAAAAAATGTTAGTTTCATTGTTAGAATTTTATTGTCAGTGATTTTCTCAGTATTAAAAACTTTTAGTTACTGAGACAAAGCCCACCCTGGTTTAATGCAGGTAAAATGTGCTTTGGCAACAATATAATGAGAACAGAATTTTTACTGGTAGGATGAGGTTCTATAATATTCAGGCGAAAAGCTAAGGATGGCATGTGTTTTTTGACTCTGTATACAGAATCTTTCTCGTGATTTTTTCAATTTTTCTGTTAGAGATCAATTACTCAGGAATTCATTTGTCCATGCAGAAATATTTTTTTTATCTGATTGCATTGGGGAATTAATTTGCTCTTGTGGAAATAGTTCTATTTGCATGGATCTTACTACTTACTACAAAACATAGCATGCTTTTTAAACTTTAAATAATATTGTTACATTATTCTTTTCCTATCACAGTTTTCAAAGTTGAATCAAATGATGTTACTTTAGACTTTTCTAAAATTTATTATTTATTAACAATCTTATTTGCTTTCAGAATGGTAGTAATTCTTTCTTTTTTCCTTTTCTTTCTCTGTCCTTTTTTTCTTGCTTTCACGGACCTTCCCACCAGGAGGACAAAGTGGTTAGAGCCTTTTTCTGTCTTCTTCTATTTATTGATTATAGCATTGTTGATAACTTCACACTTAGAATTTATGATTATTTTTATGAATTTTATGTTTTGTTATTTTAAAGAGATGATGCATAACAATTGCTTTTCATTAAGAACTAGTTTGATGTGCAATTATATATCTGAAAGAAAACATTTTAAGATCTTTTTCATATATAATTAAAGTGTAAAATGATTGATTATAATTTATTTGACTTCTTAAGGGAGCATACCTCTTTAGAATTCTGTTTAAGAAGATTTTATTTAATCTTCCATGAAACAAAACTTTAATGTCACTTTACTTTTTCACAACATGACTTTCTAAACTCAACATTTTGTACAGTTAAAATTTGGGGGTGTAGGTAAATCAGTTTTGGAATCTAGTCTTAGTTCTAGCAGAAGAGCTAACAAGTCTGCACCAGTAGCCAGCAGGGATTCTTGTGAACAATGCACTGTGAAGTTGATTATATGTAGGAGATTATTAAAATTTCCTTAATGACGCATTTGAAATGTTAATATTATATTCCCCTCACTAAGTATAAACATTATAATAATTTAATGATATTCTGGGCTTTGGGTTTGGGACAAAGGATTGGCCATTGGTAGCCCATGCTAGCCTGTTCTGAGGAGTCTGATTTGTACTTAAGCCAGCTGTGAAGTGCTTCAGGATCAATCTTCAATGCTTATTAAATCAAATGTAATTTTTCAACATTATGAGACTTTTGAGTTGAGGAATCTCTAAAAATTGAGGAGGATAAGGAGCAGATCCTTCTGAGTGGCTCAGAATGATATGTGTGTGTGTGTGTGTGTGTATATGACTAAGGGGCAATCACTTAACCTACTTGGGCCTCAGTTTCTTCAGCCATAAAATGAAGAGGATAGACTAGATTACTTTTGAGGTCCCTTCTAGTTCCAAAGTAACGGACCTCTAGTCTCCTAGATTAGGGGCTTCCAAACTGTTTGCTAGGCGGAATGTCATTTTATTTTTCTAAGGTCTTATTATGTTCACCAGGGATAAGCAGGGATGTGAGGTGAAGTTCAGGAGAGTATGTCCTAACTATGAAATCACTAGATAGGGAAATTGGATGTGGTTGAGGCTATTGGCTTTGATAGACCATTATGGTCTTCAGAATCTATTGGTTGATTGTGCTTTATATTTGGGGAAATGTGTACTAGACTGCACACCCATCATCTGGCCCCAGAGCAGGACAATCAGCAGTTTCTGGAGCTGCTTTGACTGTCCTGTGATTTCTGGAGCCACCCTGGAGTTTGGTAGTGCAGAGTGTAGGTATCCTCCCATGAATGGATGCATAATAATTAAATATTTTTCCACTGTTATGATGAAATATTCTGAGACCTTTGCCAAAAAATGAGGTGTTTATGAATATATTTGTCACTGAAGTGATTTTACATACTGATTTTATTTCATAATACAACAGTCAAAGATTGTATTTGAAGCCAAGGATTAATAGAGATAACTATGTTGACTTACTATGGTTTTGAAATGCTTATGGAACATTTCAAATTAATTTAATATGGCTCTTATTACTCATTAGAGTACTCTGTGCACAGTAGGTGGTTAATAAATGCTGTTGATGATTAAGATGAGAAAACTAGGTGGCAATTATGATATGCAAAAGTATAGTTGATTTAGTGCCTAATTATAAAATATAAAATTACACTTATATCAAATTTGAGGCTTTAAAAGTTATTAAGGCAGAAAATAAGTACATTTTGATATCTTACATATAGTATTTGGTGATTTTTCAATCATTCTAAGTTTCTGTAAGTATATTCCCTCCTAATTTTAATTTTTATTTCTTATTTTTTATTCCTTGTTCTTTAATCAGTGCCTTATTTCAGTGTTCTTAATAGATAACCGTAGCATAGATTTATTGGAGGAAATTAAATGGATGAGCATGTTAAAGTCCTATATTTATTTCTGTTCAGGCCCTAATATACCTAATTATAGACGTTTTGAGTACAATGTTTGGAAGAGACTGTTGTTTCCAAAATAAAAGGTTTGCTATATTCATGGTATCAGAATTATTCCAAGTAGGAGAGATTACTATGGAGAATAATAAAAACATAGCATGCCCTTTTGAACCTTAAATAAAATTGGTTCATTATTCTTCCTATGTAAAATTTTTCAGAGTTTGATTTCATAGTCAGATGATGCTTTGGATACTAGAAGTTACATGTTTCCACCTGCTATGAATTGATGGTGATCAACTTTGGATCAAAGTTGATAGAAAAGGAATTAACATGTTGTTGACTTAATAAATTCAGTTTAATTGAACAGATATTTATTAACCACCTGCAGGGTCTCATCCTAGGATGAGGATACCAAGATTAAGCAAATTACTATCAATGTCCTTAGTGACCTGACAGGTTAATAGAGTGGATATGCTATATATACACACACATAAATAATGCAAAGAAGAATGTGGCAAGTGCAAAAACCTATGAGATGTTCAAAGAGGAAGAGGCCATTTTTGGTGGGAGAGGTTAGGGTGAGTTTCTTGGGAAGAGTGACAAATAAGTTGAGCCTTAAAAGAAAGAAAGAATTTAAAAGAAAAAAGAGAAGAGAGTTCATTTCAGGTATGGGGGGCTGATTTGAGGAAAGGAGAGGACAGAACTATAATGAGTGATTCTGAGAGTACAATTTGGCTGGAATTCAGATTATGTGAAAGAATGTGAGAGAGCCTGGAAAGTTAAGTGGGAGTCAAACTGGGGCTGGCTTTGAATGACCGGATTGGGAATTTTACTTTGTTTACTAGGAAATAGGTAGCCACTGAAATATTAGAAGTGATGTGAACACACTGCCACATTAGTAGGATAACATAGGCATTGGGCATCCCTGGGGATAATAGTAATAATATTATCTCTCGTTAATACAGTGCTTTAAGGTTTCCAAAACTCTTTACATATATCATCTTTTCATAGCCCTATGAAGTAGATGCTAGTATTTCTCAAATGGATCTGTAAGATCGTTGCATTAGAAGTTTCATTCAATATGCAGATTGCAACCTATTCATCCCATGCAGCTCTTGTGCATGTTTTCCCATAAATTTGCCATAGGCAATTCACCCAACGTACTTGTGTTGTCCCCATTTTCACAGAAACTGAAGCGCAATTGAACAAACCGTCTGAGTGAAGTTAAGTGATTTAACCAGGGTCTTACAGATATTAAGAATCAGAAGTGATATTGGAACCCAGGTTTTCTTAATTCTTACTCCCATCCTCTATTCACTCCATTGCTTTTCCATTGGGAGGATGTATGAGAGAGGGAAAAGTTCAGAGACAGGGATAGTAGGATCATGGAATTCCAAAGCTGGATGGGAGCACAGAAGTCTAGTTCAGACATTACTGGCAAGATGAATCCTTTCTAAAACATCTCTGATCTCATATAGCCTCAACTTGAAGAAATCCCATGATTGGGAAATTATCACCTTCTGAAATAGCCTATCTTGCTGTGAGGCAGTCCTAATTGTTAATGTCACTGAGTTGAACTAATGATGGCATCTATAACTTCCACTGGTTTTAATTCTGCCCCTTGAAATTCATTTGGCCTAGTCATATACCCTGCCACTACAGACTTTAAACCTCCTGGAATTTCCATCTGAGGATGCACCCAAGGACCCCTGAGGTCATTCCATCCACCCTTTGATGTATGTAGTCTTTTTGGGAACTTCTTGAAAGTGCCTCAGCACTTTATGTGGTGTTTTATCATATAGTAAGCATTTAATAAAGGCTTTTCCATTCATTTGTTCATTCATTTATCTAATCCCTCTTCCACATGATAGTACTTAAAATATTTGATGACATTTGACATGCCCTCACATTGTTTTCTCTTTTTTGTATTGAACATTCCTAGACCTAGATGTTGCTATGGCATGATTTTGAGTCTACTCCCCATTCTGGTTGCTTTTCTGTGGATATACTCCAGCCAGTGTTCTTCCTAAAATGTGGTGCTGAGGACATACCAAAATGTGACACCTTTCCTCTTTGTAGGCAAGCATGGCCATTTCTTTCTAATTGTTAAAAAAAGGTCTTTCCTTGACTTTCCTATGCATCCTAACCACCATTCCATTCTATCTCTTTCCTCCATTTTATTGCTAAACTTTTTGAAAAGGCAAAAGCTGGCTGTCCCCAATGCTTTCAGTTCACTACTCACTCTCTACTCAATCTCTTGTAATTTGTTATTCGCTAACAGCATTCTGATAAAAGTGCTCTCTCAATGGTCACCAATGACTATCCAGTTCCCAAATCAAAGTGCTTTTTGTAGTCATCATCCTCACTGACCTCTCTTCAGCTTTTGTAACTGTTTACCACTTGCTATTAGAGATTATTATCTTTTCCCTTCCTTTCAGAAATGCCATACTCTTCTCTCCTGGTTTTCTTACATCTTTAGGTTTATCTTCTTTGTTGGCTTCTCTGATTCCTCATCTTCCACCCAAGCCCTTGATGGAAATGTTTCTTATGGATCTGTTATTGGTTCCTTCTCTTTGAATGCTCTCTTACCCATTCTCTTCTCTGACTTTAACTGTCATCCTATTCAGATTACTCACTCTAAATTTCCAGTCCTGACCTCTCTTCTGAACTCTAGACCCACAGATGACCCTGCTTAAAGGGTCATCATATTTGTATGAGTCACCTTATGTCCCATGTTCACAACTTTGAATTTATCTTTGATCAAAGAGAGAGCCTTGAAGCATACCTGTATTCAAGTGATGGATAAGAATAAAAAGATAAAAAATCAGTAGAGACAGAGGAAAAAGAGGTCAGAGGCCAAATTAGAACCATGAAATTATAGTGTCATATAAGCCAAAGGAGCAAAAATATTAAGAAAGAGTGGTGAGCAAATGAGGTCAAATGCTGCAGAAACATTAAGGCAAAGAGCTAAGAAAAGATCATTGGTCATTAGTGACCTGGGAGAAAGAAGTTTCATTAGATTAGTTGAGATGGACACTGGA